GACCACAGGCGGAGACCCTCCTCCCTCCCTCTGCCACGGCTCATGAAGCACTTTTGAACCAGCGGGAATGTGACCGGCATGCTATGAGAGTCGGATGGCTTTTGGTATGCTCAGTTACTGATTTGCTGCGAGCAGGTTTCAGAGATCAAAAATCAATGTCAACGATTTTAACTTCGGTTTAACAAAGTCCTAATGAAGTTTAATGGATGCCATTAGGTAAATTGCAAGCACTGGCTCTATCCATCATTGCACAGGAATGGAGATACTTTAAAACACATTTTAAAGTTTCTTATAGAAGTACAATAAGAATAAAGAATATCTCATTTATGACCACTTAACAAGCTTCTGCAGTACTCAGATAAGCACCTACAAATGAAAAACCACTGCTCTCGTAATCAGGTACAATCCCGCTGCCTTCAGAGGAATCACACCTGATTAACTGCAGGGTGAACCGGGCCACATAAGCAGCAAAGACGCACATTAAGGATGAAAACCTGGCTTTGGGAAAATAGGCAAAAACTGCAGCTCTAATGCTTATGGAAGAATTCCAAAAGCCTCTATTCGGACAGGCTTAAAAAAATTTTACCTTTCAGCTAGTGAACAGAGATGAAGACAAAGAGGTTTTGATTAAGGTCTTGTTCCTGTAACAAGTGAAGAGGGGAGGAGAACCCCCTCGAGGCTGGGCTTTATATGGCAGCATACGTGCTTCAGGAACAGCCCGTGGTTCTCTGCAGAAAGACAGATGAACTTCCCCCGTACTGAACAGGACAGGAATCCAGGTCCATCACTCATAACCCAAGTAAACAGGTTACAACAGCAGAGACATGGAGCTGAGCAGACACCGAAGACGCCACGTCTATCTGTACCGTGCTGGCTGACAAACACTGAACTGTCCAGGAGCATTTGACGTTTGTGTGAGAAGAGACCTCTGATTTTCATGAACACAGAAGCACCTGATCACAGGAAAAGCCACATTTCCGCACTGGATCTCTGGAGCTCTCCAGTCCAATTCCAGGACCTCATGCCATTGAGTTTTGAAGACCTCCAAGGATGGAATTTCCACAGCTTCTCTGGGCCCCTGGAAGAGCAGAGTGGGGAAGGGCTGAAAATTCACCCTTTGCTTGTCTTAGGTACCAAAATAGCTTCTCAGAGGCACCTCTGGCTCCTCTGCTTGCAGACCAAGGAACCCAGCAAGCCTGGGGATGGTGAAGGAGCCTCCAACCAGGGCTTGGACTTTGGCTTTCAGGCAGAGGATGGTGGTGACTGGGGAAGTTCCCTTTTGCATCCCTCTCGCTCTGATGCTGCTGCAGCTGCTGAGACTCTTCCCCGTGCTGCACCCCGTTCCAGCCGCCGAGAGGAAGCCACTGCCACCAAAAAAAAAGACCGATAAGGAAAAAGAGCATCTCGGTAACACAACAGGGAAAAGTGGTCCTGGACTTCAGGTTTCACTGTTCAAATTGCTGCAAGTTCTTGGCCAGAGACTGTTTCTTCCATCTTCATGGAAAGAAGTGAAAGGTTAACTGCACCTATGTGTATTTTTCAGAAAAGACTTTAAAATGAGGAATTAGGTATCATCTTGTATGCATTCCTTCCTCTCCCCCAAACTGAGAGAAGTAATCTCTGAGGGAAGAATTTAATCAAAGCCAGCTGCTAATTACTTTCCTGACACCAGGGGAGAAGAATGTTGGCATCAGAAAGATCTGGAAGATTTTCATGATTAATATTTGATAAATCTGTAATTGGATCGTTTGATTTTGCAGTCTCCTTTGAATAGAGGTAGAAACTTTATTAAAATGAATCTTTATGAATTCAGGCCACAAACTTCAGGGGATGATAACTCATTGATTGGTTTGAGTATCTTGAAGTGCTAGCCCTGGAGAGAAGATAAATTGGGATTGCCTAAGGACAAGTCAATACAGACTGAATGTCATCCAGAGTGCTTTCCTATTAGAGAAAATAAATTACATTCTGTAAAGAGTTAAAGTTTAATTTCTCTAGCCTTTTTTTGCTGAAGTTCAGAGATTTGACATGAATATTTAATTTAAAAGCAAATGAGAATTAAGTGTGCTAACATTGAATTAATAAAATAGTTGATTAGCACGCAATAGTGAGCAAATGTTCTCGTGAAAAAAATACAAAAATCAAAATTGCAACATTATAGTTATCCAATATATCATATTTTTTAGAACTGGATATAAGAATTTCCTCTTCATCCTAACAAAATAAAGCAGAAATTCTATTAAATGCAATAAGAACATTGTAGGGCTGAATATTATTACTATGAACAACAAAAACGATTCCTTGCTCTGATTTTTAGCTATTGAGTTATGTACTGAAACCTTTAGAACTGGTTTATGCTAATAACCCAGCAGCAAAGCAAAAAAAAAAAAAAACTGTCCAGAAATATTTGGTTTACAACTAAAGTAAATTAAAGGCCATGTGCACATTCACTGAGGGATCTGAACGCCCAGTCTTTTATTTTGAAGGCAAGAGATTAAAGTTCCCTTTCCTTAACCAGCCTCGCTCCTTTGAACAGACAGCAAAGAAATGGCAAAAAATAAGAAAGAAGAGTCTTAATCCTAGTATTCCAACATGCCTCGTGCGTGTTTCCCCTCTACTGCAGAAGCAAACAGCAATACAGCTCTTTTATATTAGCTTTAAAGAAGATTTGGCTTTGGGCATCTCTCCCCTGCCATTTTTCATTCAGCATTTAAATAGTTGCATTAGTATGCACAGCACTTTCCACATATGCAAGTAGGGAGGTTTTTGCCTCAAAGAACTCATGATCTAAATTAAATCACAATATTTAAAAAATGACAACAAAGCTACCTGAAAACAATACTGAGTCTTAAGCTAGTTACAAAGCTTTCTCCCTTCCCCTTTCCATCGCTGCCAAGACTTACGAGAAGGCAAGATATAGAGGGTGACCGCCTGTGCTAGGCAAACAAAAAGACTGGACTTGAAGACAAAGATGACGAGGCTGTTCAGCACAGTGCCTGTGGAAGGCTATTCTGGACTCGGAATTACAAAATTGATAAAGGCAGCTTTGTTAGAGAAGCTAGAAAGATGTAGCGCATGCGAAGTCATGGATTTGGTAGATATGGCACGATGGCTAAAGTGTTTGAAGTGGATGAGGAAAAAGGCAAATAGGAAGATGAAACAGAAGGAATGATCCTTCCTACAAATACACTTCGGGCCAGAGGGGGACAAGCCTGTCATGTTCCACGTGACATTAAAAAAGATAGCAATTTGAAACCAGGTTATGGAGCTGCGAAGATGTAAAAGATTTTTGAGATACAAAAGGAAAACCAGCACAATTCTGTGGTCAAAGAAGGAACACGTGCGCTCTACACATGCACAGGGACGTAGCTTTGGGATCAGCACTCTAGCTGAGCCTCACCGACACTGTGTATACATTCAACATACATTCTGTGGGTAGCAATCTATCTATTCAGCAGAACCCATAGAGTCCGCAGGGCTCAATACCAAACATAAACTATCTTTATGTTGCCGTTTTTTCTTGGAGCAACAAAGACTTGCCCACAAACACAGCTTAGAGCACCTTCAACTGCAGACGGCGAGTAGCGCGGCATAAAACCATGACCCCTTCTCTTTGCCACGGAGCACTGGAGAGTCCTTCTGCGCAGGGCTTCCCACCGCCTCGCACCACCAACCTGCTCCATCGCCACACAAAGGAGAACGCTTGCCATGAGTACGTACGTGTTTGCATTGATCGCTTCTGCTGTTCATTATGTAGCAGAATGTGCATAAATTAATAGGTGTTTTAGAGCTCAGCCCATGGAATTACCTCAGTGCAAATCTAGTTCATAATGGAAAAGTTTATTTTAAATAAAAGTTGGCTTTGTAAGCAAACCTCACCCCGGATCCCAAAATGGGAACCATGGAGAATAAAACAAAATCAAAACAAAACGATGAAAAAAAGCCTTTGGCCCACTGAAGAAGGGTTTTATTCTTATTTTGTACAACAGTTACTTGAAGAAACTACACATTATCGCCCTTGGAGGACCCGTTTTGTCAGCAGCAGTGGCATTTCTGCTCCCCGTTCTCACCGACCTTCCAGGCGCTCCCGGGGCCTGGCGGCCTTTCGGTGGCCGAGAAGGCCCCCCTGTATTTTCTTCAATAACATCCCCCCTTCTTTTATTCATTTTCGACTCCATTGTGCTCCCCGGCCCCAGCCAGCCCCAGCCGAGGGCGGGGGGGTAACGGCAGGCCGGGTTACGTGGCGCGGCTGACTCCCTGGGCAC